AACCTGAGATGTATGTTTTGTTTTAGGTTAGAACTCTACAGGGTATTTGACAACTGGTTACACTTAAGTCAGCCACTGATGGTGTAACACAATTCTATCATCATCAGTCAACCCAAAGAAGAGAGAGACTCGCTGGAAGAAGAAAAAAAATTACAAACCCATGTATAGTTGAGTACCATCAGCTTTTTTCTTTGTTTTGTTTTTTTTTGAGCCGTCACCTATTTCTTTATTAATTTTTGTCTTGCAGTTTGAGAGTTATTTATAAATGTTGTTGAATGACAGTGGTATTCATGCTGCCGAGAAAGTTCCCATTTTACTTTTGAATGTTCCTTCCCCCAGAGGGACGAGCCCGGCTTTCTGTTCAAGAATCAGTGTTTCGCTCACAGGAAGATAAATTAAACAGGCTATCACCTCTTTATGTGCATACTTTTTGGGGGAGAAGTAAAATCCTGTCTGATTAATGCACCATTTCCACACTTATTTACTTTATATGAACCTATTTATTTAGACTGAGACTATTTCAAGATGAGTATCATCTGTTTTGAGTCTTTTTTTATTTTTATTTTCAACCTGCCACACTGAGCCATCCAGTCTATTGTTTAACAATCGATGTATGTCGTTCTGGAGCATTTGCAGTCAAGATGGAGTTACAGACACTGGCTTTTCTTTCCTGCACATTTTTAAGAGTTTTTTTCCCTGAGGGGGGAAATAATCATCCATCGCTGCCTTAACTTTGATTGCCAAGAAAGGAAGGAAACCTGTTTTCAATAAAAACTGCATCTGACGGCTTGTTTTAAAGGCAGTTAAACTCTATTATTGACAAACCAAAGACAACACACCAATAAATACCTTTTGTAATGAACATGCTACATTTTTACCTTTGTAAATATAAACTATTTGTCCTTGACGTTGCACATGAAGATAGAGAAGATGCAGAGGTCGTGATGTCGTAGTTCTGTGGCACTTCAAACAGCACCCATGAAATGATCTCCCGATCGAGTCGCTCATCAGGGCTGAACAGTAGTAATAACATTTTTTTATGGCTAATAAGGAACATCATTTGATGGGTATGTGGAGGCGTGCAGGTCAATCAATGTTAAGATTGTGAAAACAAGTAATAAAGCTCAATGTGGACATTGTTGACCGATTTGTTGGATGTTTTTAATCACTTCCAATATATAACTTGCTCTTATTTTGTGAGAATCTGAGAGAAAATTAGACACACACACTTCCTCTAAAGGGCTGTTTCCAGGCTTGTGCATGTCCCTTCGATAAAAAGAGACTCAATGATGTGAAGTGCAAGAAGAACAAAACCACAGTCCCACTTTCCAATCTGTGATTTAATGAATTAAGCACCAGCTCAATATGATCAACATCCAGACAAAGACACAACCTTGAACTCAATGAGTATAAAATCTTTTTTTTTATAACAACATAAACCCCCCCGCCCCAGAAAAAATCCATCCATGTTGCAGAAACTGCAGAACCTGAGTCGTTCACTGTCCAGGAGCTGAGAGACTTTTGTTCATGAACTGCTTCTTGACGAAACACACCCACCACTGAAAGAAACAAAACTCTGGTTAGAAAAAGTCTGTGGAGCTGTTTCACTGAAAGAAGAATAAAAAATACACACAGCTCCTCAGTCACAAGACAACTGAACGTGTTGTAGATCAGATGTACTCCAGTACCTCTGGTGATCAAATCACTTGTCTAGTGTGTCATTGGGTTCAATATTTTGCTATAGTACCAGTAAATCATTAATTGTCTGGTCATGTAGGCTCTGTTGTGCTGGGAAAACAAATTGAATGTGGTGTAGAAAGGCAAAAACAGAAGGATTGAAAAAGAGCCTAAATAGACTGGGATTAAAAAGAGCAACCCACATTTAACTGAGATCCTTCTGGAGAAGCTGTAGATTAATTTATCTCGAATTTCCTTTTGCCAGACTTAACGCTGTTAACTTGGTACATTCTGGACAAAGGTTACATTTGCACTGACAATTTTAATGCAGGAAAAGTGTGTCAGAGCCGATGTGACGGGTTCTCTGGTGCTGGTGCTATGTGAATATTAATCTGTAGTGGTGTTGACTTGGAGATGCTGGACTCACCTTGCTGGGTTTGTCTGTCTGGGGGTCAAACACTCGATCACACAGCCGCAAGCCGGTCTCCTGGCGGATCTGCTGCAGGTACGCCCTCATAGTCTCTGAAGGAGTTGCATAACATTCATTACTGCTATGTCACAGCTGGGAAAGGAGACCTTGGGTACTGCTTACATTGTTTTCTACCCATATGTTCTTCACAGAAAAAAGATGACAGTAAAAACAGGAGGGGACACCACACAAGCTTGAAACAACACACAAGGCTTTGGTCAGCGTTTCTATTTTCAGCTTGATACTCCTCGGCTAAAATGTACTGAAATATAAGAAGGGGACAAGGGAACTGGCTCTGATGCAGAGAATAGAGAAGTGAAACAGCACAAATGGACCACATGAAGAACTATTTTTGTTGTGCTTGTTCTTACCTTCCTCCTGCTTGTTTGTAGGTTTTAAATACATTGCATTAAGAGGGAATCCAGGTTCTCCAGGGATGGGAAAGTTAGTGATGCCCAGAGTGTACATCTCCTTCTCTCCCTGACCCCTGGAGCTGCACTGTAAAGAGACAAATCAATGAATAAATAAATGGCTCATCTGTTTTATTTAAACCCATTCAAATAGCTGCTTATTCCTTACTCGTGTGGAAGGAAAAACAATTTGGATTCTACTCATTTAATGGCTCCTTAAAAACCATCTGTTGAGCCCTTAGAGGGTCCACAGCCTTTGGTTGCTTTGTTATTGCACAGATTACGATTAATGGAGCTAATACGAAGTGCAAACATGAAACGCAACAAACTTTACACATCTTACCTTCTGTAGCCTTTTCAGGCATTCAGAGATGTAGAGCGTGACGTATATCAGAGTCCTGTCCGCCTCGTTCTGAAAGAAATGAAACCAGACACATTTTCAGTCAGGTCGTGACAGTGAAAGGCTGCATAGTTTACATCCTGAGCAGCTATGCAGCGCTGAGGGGAAGGAGAAGAAACAAGCTGGGGCATGTGGAGGAACGAAGAGAACAGCTGCCTCATGATGGGAAGGAGAGGAAATACACACAGGAACAAGAACACGAGCGAGGCAGCGCTCCACGCATTCATATCCTTAAATGTACACACATGTGTAATACTTCAGTCATATTAGATGAGGGATAATACATGTCTTACCTTGATTTCATAGTTCTTAAAGAAAACATTGGCTTTGAAGTAGTAGATGGCCTCATCGATGATGTCTGAATCTATGCCTGAAATGAAGCACAGAAATTCATGCATAAGATTAACTCAAGAACTGACCAAGTGTTTCTGTGTGTTGTGAATACAAAGTGTTGTTTTGCATGAGGAGGTGCACATTTTTATGAGGATCTAGATCAGGGGCAGATCCAGGATTTATTTTTCACACATACAACTACAAAGCCGCAGATTCTTGTTCTTGTTATTTATTATTAATATTGTTTCTTACAGTATCGTATAGAACCAGATCCTTTCCTTGCTTAGTGTCGTATCTTACACCCTACTGTGTTTTATCACATCATGACCCCACGAAATCATGGTTCCACAAATGTTTCTGCTTTGTAGATGGCGTGTACGTTCTTGCAAACATCGCTGAAAGCCGACGTGCACTGAAGAGCTTTAAACTGGTATGTCACAGGAAATGTGTGAAGAACAGTGAGGATGTAACATTCAGGCCATTTATGGACGTGAAGCAGATGCATGTTTCAGGAACTGAGCAACGCGTCATGACAAAGACTTAAACCTGCAAAAACAAAAACCCATTCAAACACGATGAAGGCTGAGTGAGTGTGTCTGTCTTTACTCTGAGCTTGGTAATAAAAACCACCACATCCTCACCGTCTCCTCGGGCTGGTCCCTTGAACTGGGTCTTGAGGGGCAGCAGAGCCATGTTCCCCACCAGCCTGGTTTCAGGGACCATCAGGTTGGAGTGATACGCCTGAAAGAGAAGAGGAGGAATAAAGTTGCTGTCACTTCTGATTTAATAATCACAATAACAATAATAATGACCATTTCTGCCAGTTAGCATCGATGCTATCTCTGCCGCTCCCCGTACCACAGCATGCTAACACACAGCAGCTAATGCGATTTAAAGATTACGCCTCTGAGAAGCGTGAGCAGCTAAGTTACATCAGCTCATGTTTCATTTCTGAAGTTACACGCATCGTAAAACTGCGAATACACGCTGAGGTGGCTAAGCAGCTATGCTAACGAGAGCCTACACCACAGCTAGCTTAAGTCGGAGGGCCTCGTTTCCCCCGCTGAGGTTATCGCTCGGTTTATTTTCGCTTTAAACTGAACAATAACAGCTTCTGCTCGTCATTTGTCGTGTTTGTGTTTACTCACCGGCATGTTGAGTGATAGTCGATCAATCCAACTGCTCAGCGAGAGAAATGCTTCCGCCTGTCCCACCCTACAGGAAGTGGACACGTGTAATGAAGGGGGGCGACCGCATGGGGGCGCCCTCGCAACACACACACACACACAGTCTCTCTCTCTCGCTCACACACACTCACTTTGTCTCTCTCGCTCTCACACACACACACACTATGTCTCTCTCACACACACACACACAKACACTCACTCTGTCTCTCACACACACACACTCTGTGTCTCTCTCTCTCACAAACACACACACACTCACTCTGTCTCTCTCTCACACACACACAAACACACTCACTCTGTCTCTCACACACACACACTCTGTGTCTCTCTCTCACACTCACTCACACACACACACTCACACTCACGCACACACACACACACTCTCACTCACTCTGTCTCTCTCTCTCTCACACTCACTCACACTCACACACACACACACACACACACACACACACTCTGTCTCACTCACTCTGTCTCACTCACTCTGTCTCACTCACAAACACACACACTAATTGTATATTTGATGGATTATTTTATTCCAAAATAGAAACACATTTAACAACAACTCTTCAGCATCAGTGAATTCAAATCACACATTTCTAGAGTCGTCAAAGTGGCTCACGAAGACAAAACCCTTTTAAATATATATGACATAAGATATTAGTTTTCTCTTTATATTCTGTTTTTGTCCATTGTCTCTGTGGGCGTGCCATTCTCCACCTGGGCTTGATGCAGTGAATCTTGCTCTTTTATGATGTTTTACTTAAGTATTATAAATCTGAGATTTAGAGAAGAAAGTCATAATATTACCAGAAAAAAAATAATTTCATGATCCACTTGCACAAATTATGACTTTATTCTTGTGATATTTTGACTTTACCCTTTTAGAACATAATTCGCAAAATCTCAGAATTATTTTTTTCTTCAACATGGCACTAATACTCCAGCAGCTCTGGAGTGGCGTTTCTCCTCAGCTGTCCGCTTTGCCTTGAAAAATCTCATCAAAGTTTAGGTTAGCGGGCTCCTCCTCAGTCTCCTGTAGACATGGAGAGAACATGGTATCACTTAAATGAATAGTTCAGATGGTTACGTGGTTTTAAATGTTGTGGTTCTGTTTGTTTTCTTCACCTTTGGCTCCTTGAGCTCCAGGTCCTCTCCGTACTGTATAGAGAAGTCGATGTTTTGCAGCACTATGTTAACACCTTCCTCGTCTGTGCGGTCAAAAGGCAGGAACCTCACCATGCTGTAGTCATCAATCTGGACGGACAGGCACACTGTCTCATTAAGAAAGACATTTTCTGATTCAAAACTAAATCCAGTATGAAATGAAGGTTCTCACTCACAAGGCCACAGATGGCTTGAGTCAGCTTCTTGAACTTTGTGCATCTGATGGTGTCGGAGGCGTCTTCCATCATCGCGTACATATCTGGGTCCAGGTATCTGAACAAGATGCAAAACGTGATGAATATTTCTTCCAGATAAAAAAAAGAGGATTTCATTTGAACAACAATTCACATTAATGCTTATTTTATATAAATGGATCACACATGACATTGTTACTTACTTTTCTATTTCCTTCTTTGCCTTTGGACTGAGCAGGTCCATTTTAGTCATTATATTTACTTGAGGAATCTCCAATAACACCATGGCACTCAGGGCGGCCATGACTCCAGAGATAAACTGCAGTTGGGTAAGATTTGCAGCTTCAGGTTAAAAAAACAACGACGACTCAAATAAACACATGAGGATATTGGAGGGTTGCCTTACTTTAAAAGACTCCACCATGAACTGGGAGTCAACCAGAAAGACCCCGCACACCCGAAACTCCCACTGCTGAAGCCGCTCCACCAGCTGCTTCATTACAGGGAGGTGTGTGTACAGTTCAATCTGACCTGCAGACACAAATCCACTCGTCAAAACTCCACCATAGTACGATGCCCTCACATTTCTCCACCTCCTCACATCAGCACAAAGAGAAGCATGTAAACCCCAAGCCGGCCTTGCACCAGCCTTACCGTGCCTCTATCAGGGCGTTTACCTGGGCAGTCAAACAATATGTAGTCATCTTCCACGTGACCCAAGCTCTCCTCCAGCCAGTCGAAGTTGTTGGCTAAGTACTCCATGCAGAAGACGAGGCCACCGTTTGGGCCGAATCTGAGAGAATCGTCCTCCATCACGTCATCCACCTGGATGAGCTCACGGATGTCTGAGGACACAACCAATTTTTTATTTTGTGTGTAGCTGCATTTTATACTTTTCTACTCTATGTGAACTAACCAGTGTAATAACAAACCTAAAACACCGTTTAAAGCCATTACAAGGATGTAACAACACGACCTATTGCAATCTCCTCTTTTTATTACGGTCTGCACGTGTCTTTATACACAGCTAACTATTCTTAATCTACTCTAATGAACAGTATGCGAGGTAAAGAAGTTCAGTATTCACCTGCCATGACAGGGTAGTCAAAGTGCTCAGCTGCTGGGTCCAGGTTGACCACCTGAACTGAGCGGTTTATGGACTCTGAGTGCTGGATCATGGTGGAGCAGTAGGTACTCTGAGGTGAAACATAAACACATGAATGATCCATTTATAATTCAGTATCAGTTGGACGGGCCTCTGCACACCTGAAACAACGATACACACATGTTTAATAACTACACACACATACACGTACAATAACCACAAATTTACAAATATTCCATACAGTGAAAGTTGTTACTTCATTTGCAACGAATGTCACACTGCACCTTAGAATGTATATTGTTTAAGTTGTGTGTTGTATTTGACTTCTTGTTTTTAAATAATAAGCTCCTTCTACCTTTTATTTAAATTAAGCTATTCCACTGCTGAGCTGAGCTTCTCCTCCTTGTCTTTATTCCTCCTGTGTTAACCTGCATGTGACAAATACAACTTGAAGTCGAACTTGGTCTGTGAGGAACACAGATCAGCCTCATGCTTTAGCATCGCATAGCTTTAGCCCACTAGCACAACAATGATTTCAGGAAGTTCGCGGGACCGACTGATGACGCACCTTACCGCTGCCCGCCGGGCCCATCACCAGCTGAGCGAAACGAGGCATTCTGCCTCAGTGAGAAGCGTCGAGGAGAAATTCAAATCTTTTAAATCTTCTTGTTGCTGCTGGTGGAATGAACGAGGAGGCTTACAGCTCTTCTTCTCCTTGTTTCAACGCACAATGACATCCGTCTTGATCTGTACTGCTGCCACCTACTGACCAGAGTGGGAAACACCATGGACTGAACAGGAGCCAGATTTGAACAAACACACCAGAACTCATACTGTACATATTACTGCAAAATATACTGCACATTATACTGCAGAAAATACTGTAAAATATACTGCACAACTTACCGCACAACATACTGTAAAATATACCATGAAACCATGACACTAACTGTATAACATACTGCATAACATACTGTAAAACTTACTGTAAAATATACTGTACATTATACTGCACAAAATACTGTAAAACTTACTGTAAAATATACTGCACAACTTATTGTAAAACATACTGTAAAATGTGCAGTACACGTACAATGAAAAAGATTTCAAGCTGAAACAATACAAAGGGGATATTATCAACATACTGTATATGTGTTTTAAATAGAGGTTCAACATTTCGTAATAATATGGAAGAAACATAAAGACAGAATAAAGGGGGAAAGGTTGATTAGTGCATCGTTCATAGTAAGGGGGGGGGGGGGGCTATCAGATCTAAATATTATATTTTTTGATGTTATTTTGAGACCCACCAACTATTCTTGGAGTGCAGTGATGCACCAATCAGCGTTTGAATTGATAACCCTGCAAGAAAAAGCCGAAGAAGAGGATTATTATTATTATCATTATTATTATTAACTGTAGGAGTTAACTCACACCAGGAGGTGGCAGTAACGATCCACAATCAAGATGCAAGCTGCCATTAGACCCCACCAAGGAAAAAGAAGAAGAAGCGTCCACAGTAAAGTGAAACATAATGTGACAGACACCAGAGCTGCTGATCACTCACAGGCTGTCCGTCAAGTCAGCAGAGGAAGGTGGGGTGTCGTTGTGAGGCGTCGTTGTGAGGTGAGGCTCCATCTTTGCTGTAATGTGAACGTGTGTCACACACACACCGGATCTGCTCGGTTAGGATCTTGCATCTTGTTGTGGCTGTTGAACGCAGCAGCTCAAGTCGTTCCTGGCTAAAGATGAAGCTCTGAGATCCACGAGCAGAAACGAGCCTGGCTTCAGTCGCCGGACACGTCTCGTTGAATCGTCTCGCTGTTTGGAGACTGTCCACCGGAGAGGACACGCTCCTCACGACTCAGCGACACGTCAGCGCCCGAGGTGTTCAGAAAGAAATAACAACATCAGCCAGTCGAGGCTAACGCTAAACTTGGCTAGCAGTGTATGCAGTGACAGGATAGTAAACATTTACAGCTTTATAACCATGTTGTCAGTCAGTCAGTAATTCAGCCAGTCAGTCAGATGCACTGACGATAAAACTAAGATACTGATCAATTTTGCAGTCACCTGATGTAAAACAAATCTGAGCTACTTCCAAATTTGCATGTTTATTCTAATGTGCTGAACCATCGGAATTAAAGTAAGAACTCAACTTCAGGATTTTGCATATTCAAGTAATTTGTGTGTGTTGGTCACAGTAGAATTTAAGATGACTCAGTCAGTGTGTGGTTGCGTAGATTCGTTGTTTAAAGCCATTTTACGATGCTGGTCCCTGGTACCCTAAAGATCATCCACCAATATTAAGCTAATTGTAAAAACTGCAATAATAATTCAACTTTCTTTAAAGATCAAAAAAACAGCCGCTGTGTTTAAGTGATATCCTCTTTTTTCGTCTTTGTTCTCTAGTGTTGTAGACTATGAGTGTGGGTGATGGAGGACAATCAATGTGGGGACGTGGACTACCTGATCCAAGATGAGGACACCCTCATCGAAGGAGTCAGCAACCAGGTCTTGTTTGTGGTGGTGCTCAGTATCACCTTCCTTGCAGGACTCCTCACTCTGCTCTGCAGGTAAAAAACTTTGTATGATGAAGACAAAGTTACTATAAATTTTGGGGGAATTACTGAACAAACATCTTTGATGGTGAAACATCCTGATAGGTTGCACTGTCCAAAACACATCGGTGCTGTTCCATGTTTACAGTTTCCGCTGATGAATATTGATGCCAAATGTATGTTCTTCGTGCTGTTGTAGACAAGACGAGCAGAACATTCACCCTGAGAATCAGGAGCACGTCCGAGCTGTCCGACAACAACTCCAAACAGAGCAGGTACGCTGGCAAATGCAACAGAATGTCTCTTTAATATGTAGGTTCGAAAGAAGTTGAAAGCTCTGAGAACTAAGCGGAAAGGTGTATGCTGCCAAATGAGGACAGGAAATTTGAAAAGGGTTATGGTTTTTTAAATTAACCACAAACAAATTCCACTCATTTCAGAAAAAAAAAAATATATATAATAAGGTTATTAGGCTAATAAGGTAGTCACATTTTATCTTTATCTTTTCAGTAAGAGGACCAATTTCAAAATAACTTGTTCTATGATTATGATATTAAACATTTGTTTTACATTTCCAGGATGAAAGTCCTCAGGCGGAGGCCCGGCAGCAGTATTACACAGACATGTCTTGTCCCGTGTGTTTACAGCAGGCTGTTCTGCCTGTGGAAACCAACTGTGGACATCTCTTCTGTGGTAAGATGATTGGACAAATCCTGAAAATACTCAAAATGCAAAAATAGACCTTTGTATTATGATAAACAGTTGGATGTATTCGTTAATTTGGGTTAGCTTCACAAAAATAAGCAGATATCAGAATGAAGATAGAATTAATTTGTTGAAATGCATGTAAGGTGTTACTAGTGTACTTTGTGTTGTCTTTTTCCTGCATAGGCTCCTGCATTATAGCGTACTGGAGGTATGGCACCTGGCTGGGTGCTATCAACTGCCCCATCTGCAGACAAATGGTGAGGCATGTAATAAATCATGGCTGTACAACAGTTATTGCATTATTTATTTGTTTTGCATGCCAGACACATGGGTAGCTGTTAGCAGATAGCCCACTAGCCTCTCCCACCTGCTTAGTCCAAGCTTGAGGTCTCTTTTCATCAAAATGTTACTCTTTCTTCAATCATGTACTGTATATGTGTCCAGTAATAGAGTTTTTCCTTCAGCATCAATGTACTAAGTGTTGTTTTTCTCCCATTTCCCAGGTAACATTGCTTTTCCCACTATTTCATGAGCATGCTTCTCCTCAGAGGGTCCAGGATGGAGAGGCAGAACCTCAGCTCATATTACGAGACATCAAAGATTACAACCGCAGGTTCTCAGGCCAGCCGAGATCTGTGAGTAGTACATCCAGTTTCATATTTAGCAGTTACAGGTTAGCTTGGCTTATATAACACAATATTCATTTTCAATTACTTGTACATATCCTTGATGAGCAAATAGCAATTCTTGTTATAAAATAATACGCTGAAGATGCTACAAGAGGTTTAGGGGAGTTAATTTCCAACAATATTTTCCTAATATTTCCTCTCCGCTGTTTCCTCAGTTTATGGACAGGCTGAGAGATGTTCCCACTCTGCTCCGTCATGCCTTCAGGGAGATGTTTTCCGTGGGCGGCCTCTTCTGGATGTTCAGGATTCGAATTCTCCTCTGCCTCGTTGGTGCACTCACCTATCTGGCCTCGCCACTCGACATCCTTCCAGAAGCGCTTTTCGGTCTCCTGGGATTCATGGATGATTTCTTTGTTATCCTGCTTCTCTTTGTGTATATCTCTATCATGTACAGAGAGGTGGTTACACAGAGACTGAACGGCTAGGTGTGGACGCTAAAAGACTGAATAAATGTAATGAGGACAGTTCTTTAATAATGCCGCCTCTCTCTGAAGTGTGTAACTTCATCACTGGAAAGGAGCTGGATCAGCTGTGAATGTTGACTCTGTTTGTAGAGTTCCCTGTTAATGGTTCATAGGTTGAATGTGGTCAAAGCCACCGCTAATAGAACGTAATGAGGGTTGTGGAAGGATGTGCTGCTCTGAATCGCTGCAGTAACTGAATAACTGATGTGAAATCCAGCCAATTCTTTGAAAGCATTGCCAAAAGCAGTCATTTTAAATGTGCATATCATCATAATGGGGACAATATTGTAATGTGATTTTGAATGTTCTGTCTTAATTTTATGCATTTAAAGTTGACTTCCTGCTGTGTCCATGTTGTCACCTGCCAGACAACCGAGTGTTACAAGAACTAAATTATCTTATACAGCTTGTTTGGTCAGTTACACTGAAGATGCTCTTATGGAATAAACCAGTGACTATGCATATTCATAATGACATAAAAAATACAGCCTTTACTGCTTGTGTAAAAATCACTGAATCATTTTATTTGCTGCAGTTACATCTGAGATGAGATCTGCACATACCAACCTGTCTGAAACATAGCAATCCACAAGTGAAGTCATCCTTGATAATAAAAAGAAGCCAAACCAAATGTATCAGTGATCAATTAACTTAAATCACTTAACTTCTGAAAATAGATTTATTATCTCAGAGTACACATCGCTCCTTTTACACTTAATACAGAAGTTTGTGATTGAACGCCTCCATCCATGTCACAAAGCTTTTAATTTTACAATTATTTGATGTGTTGAATTGGAAAAGTTAGATCTTAAATTCTAGATATAGTTTTTTTTCCCACCCTTAAGTGGAGCCCACGAGGGGTCTTGACCCTCAGGCTGAAAATGGCTGCTTCAGAGTGGGAGCTGAAACTGTATCCAGGCCATTTGCTTTCTTTGGGCTATATTTGCTGAGCCAGCAAACCTTCATGTTCATGAATAGATGAAGGAGGGGGTTCAGAATCACATGGCCGATCAAGAGTCAACTATAGAATTCATTTAGTTTGTTTGACAGCAACAGATTCCTGGGAAACCTTGTCAGATCCCAGCTGGAATACCACATTAAGGTGTGGCACAAGTCACACATACAAACATTCGTACCTCTGTCCTCTCTCCTCAGCGCTTCTGCCGATTTGTCTCCAGGGTGTCGGCACAACCGCCACCCTCCTGTGTGTGATAAGTAAACTGAAGGCAATGAGAGCAACATGTGTCGTAAATGCTTCTGCAGCCGAGAACCGGTTAGATGAGAGTCTGAATCTTGTGGGAAAAATACTGAAGCTGCAGGAAGAGACAGTGCTTTGGTGCAATGTATGTCAGAAAATGTTTTTTAACACATACAAACACTGCACTTCCCATACTCCAAGTACACATCAAAATGCATCACTGTGATGGTACAGGATTTAAACTGACATCATTTTATTGTATATTCTACTTTCTCTCCCTCCACCTAACTTCCCTTGAGTGACTGATGCAATAAAACAATCAGCTGCGTGTTCTTTGAATGGATTCAGTATTTACTATTAGTGTTAATCATGTATTGAGTCTGATGGGGTGTATCCTTCTCCATTGATGCTCCAGACAAAAGTGACTGGTGAATGTGAATTGAAGTCAATGGCGAGCACGTCTTCAAACGTCAAGAACAACAGGAAAAAACACACAACATGTCTCCATACTGCTCCTGTGGTGTCATCCAAGTGTCTGTGAGCCCTGACATTATGAAATATGAATGTTGGGGCTTGGGGACACTTGGACGACACCTCAGGAGCAGCATGGAGGACATTGGACATTTTTTCCTGTTGTTTTTTCACATTTGAAGAACTGGTCACCATTGACTTCAATTGCATTTGATTCTGCTGCAACACTCTTTACCCACTGAAACTCCAGAAGTGTTTCATGGACTCGAACACTTCACCCACCCTCCACCTGCACAGTGGTGAGTGCATGATGATGGAATCAGCTTTTTTTGGGGGGGTGGGGGGGGGACTATCCCTTTAAGCTCCACCACAGTCTCCGCCCTCCCGGCCCTCCTCTGGCAGACGCCGGAGTAACGAAACCAGCGAACCAGACAGTTGAGCCGCGGACGTCGGGAGCGTATGAAGCGGGCTGCTAACTTCAGGCTCACTTCGCCCAAACACAGTCACGGTAGCTAACGATGAGTACATCGGAGTCGCTGGATCGGATGGAGCTGTGTGGAAGCCTCCTGACGTGGGTACGTGGTGGTGAAATGCGGGGTTTTATCCCCCCCCCCTGACAGGCTGGCGGCTCTCCGGCGCCGGCGACGCTAGCTAAGCGCTCATAGCTAATGCTAGGTGGGCGAGCTAACGGGGCAGACCGGGAGACGACGGGCGGGCGCTGGTTACGTATGCAGGCCAGCTGTTTGGCTGCTTTAGCTGCTGATGTGTTGTCCGCCAGCACACCGCCCTCGTCTGTCATGGCTTTTTACAAGGCTAGCTAGCTCTGTAGCTCCTTCGCTAGCTCAGCTCTCCCACTGCTCGGTCGTTTTGAGTCCCCGGCGTGAAGCGACACAGACGCCGGCCGTGTTTCAGCTCATGTGTTGGGGTTCAACGCTTTTTCATCTGGATCGGAGATATAACGCCACAGCACGGTGTCTGCTTTGAGTCTGGATTCCTGTCATTGTTGTCTCGTGTATCACTACTGATCGCTGCACCTTCCCCATCCCTCCTTCTGATCCGAATCAGCAAACCCAAGTAGCTCTCAGGGTTTTTTTTATTATCTGTAACCTCAGCTCTAATATCTCCGGAGCTTGAACACGTCTATCATGTGGATCGAAGGCATCAGATTAAAGCATCATGTGCTGCTGTGTGGGGCTTGTTTACATTGTTGAGATGTAAGCAGCTCTGTGATAAGAGCTGGAACAATGTTACTCATGTGTATGTGTGCAGAGTAGATTTCCATCAATGATGTCACTGAGGTGTTTTGATTATGACTGCCATTGCTTCAGTGCAACATGCAACCCACGGCATAATGGAAAAAGGTACTGTGCATATGAGCCACGTAGATAGACGCCCATTCACTGAGCCTGTCTAAAAACATCTGGGACTAGTTGAGCTGAAATTACATGTGATGGAAACTGCATTGGTGTTTACTACACACAGCCAGCATGAATGTCAGTAGTGTATAGTGATAACACACATCATGGTGGAGCTTTGTTAAGGTAAACTTAACATGCTCCCTGTGTCATATGTTACCTCATGTGTCCAAGTTCCTCTGTGAAACTGAAACAGGAGCTTTAGAGCTTGTGTGCAGAGCTTAAACATTAAAGTATTTAATGTACATCATGGAAACAATGAAATGAAGTTTCCGAGTTGTGATTCTTTGTTGGACTAAAAAGCTTTAAAAGAAAGGCATACATATTTAAAATTCGAAGGACACACAGAGAAGGGCATACCGCCACCAAGTCCTGATAGTCCCTTGATTAACATTTAAATATTCTAGATCCAGATTTTTATTTGGATGTGATACATATATTTCAGCCCCCTGAACAGGCTTTATATGTTCCATCAAGATCCATGAATTATTCTTTGAGAAATGAATGAAAATGTAGAAAAACAAACTATCTAGCGGAAAACTAAACCCTGCATCTACCCCTCTGATCCCAATCAGCACCAAAATTGAATGGGCTCTCTCCAGAACCACTCCACATCCCTGCACCAAATACTGTGGTAATCTTTCCAGTAGTTTCTGTGTATTTCTGTTCACAGACAGATTGGCAGACAAAAATATAACCGCCACCAACCCTCAAAATAATGGATTTGGTACAAACTGAGTTCATAAAACCTGGTAAATTTAGTTGATGCACAGTCACATCCAATGTGACATCTAGTTGCCCCCTCTTGTTGTTGCTTGGTTCATGTAGGACAACTCAGAATGGCCTCACGACAAGTTCCTAGTAATGGTGACAGGCAAACATTCCACACATACCTGTTAACTGGGAAGTCACAAAAGTCTCACTTTATCTGGATTCAGATTCACTTTAACTGTAAAAGATGTGTTTCATGCTCCCCGATGTGGATAATTGGAAACCCATGACAGCAATAATTTCCCACATGTTATCTTCACACTGATCACTTCTCTTTTGTAATAAAGCAGAACCTTCTGCTGCCCAATTTTTTCTATTCACACAACACCCTAACATATATACACAACACGTTTTTCCACAGCTCAACTCTCTTTTCCCAACTGTATCCACAAACCTGTTGTTTTTCTTTTCAAAATGGACCTCATGAATTTCTAGAAATTCAAATTGCATCACAGATATTAGTGATTGTTTTCTAATTGTGTTGCCCTTTGTGTGTTGCCACAGGTCATTTTGTCATTTGCACCATTTATTTAGCCGTTAAGAGCAATGGTTATCATGGTAATGGAACCTTTTGATGAAGTGCTCCTATCTTAGCTTTTAAGCTCATTGCTATAGATGATGTGATCAAAGAAGACTGATTGTAATCAGGCCAGACCACCAGACCCAAGCAAATCTTAAACTAAACTAGAACCTCAAAATGCCTCAGGTCATGTGATGCTTTGTTTCCAGATTAATTGGTTTTTCATTATCGTGTTGCAGCTCACACACATTGTGTCAAAAGTTAAGTATGCCTCAAGCTAAAAATGATATGAAAACAAGTCTGCTGATAAAAGTGCTGGTCTGTGTGCATTAAACCGTTACAGTTTGGTTGTGTAGTGAAGGCATCTGGAGGTGGATGATTGTATATTGTGATCGATCTTGAAGACGTTAATTATCTACTTTTGAAGCAAATCTCAAAAGATTGTGATATTTTTGTGTTTCGATGGATGCAGTATTGGTTGTTGACCTTGTTTCACTCTGTGATCTGTGCTCAGCGATTAATATGATCAGGTTTAGGATTAGGAGGTGATCCCGGTGACGCAGGACATGGTTTGGCCCTGAGATATCTGAGATATTCTATAAACTTTACAAATCAGCTCTTAGTACAATCAGCGGTGAGTGGCAGCTTTAGTAGCAGTTTACGTCTTTTGGCCAACTACCAAAAAAGTTAAAAAGACAAACATCAGATCAGTGTTCCACGACATAAATTAAAACTTATAAATAAAAATTCTCAATGTACAACTCATGTGCCACCAGTCAGTGTCAGTGAATGAAGCACAAACACACTTGATTCACTGACACTGACAACCCTACACAATGTCCTGATCAACACAAAGCCACTCACCTGCAGAGCTCCCCTGTGCTTTTCCAGAGACATCACATGGGGGGCATATGTCTCAGTTAAAGGCTTTGTAGTTCAGTGGTGTGTGCGCTGCAGTTTTGTTGACGAATCAACGCAGTCAAGCGTATGGAGCTTATGTGGCCACGAGAATGCATTGATGCCTGGGAAGTGGAACAGTGGTTTAGCATGTAAATCAAGCTACAGAGCCCCGTGAAGACAGAATGTCTACTCTATAAAATGCAACAGATATGTTGGAACTAAAGTCGCCAGGCGATTTAAGGTGGCACCATAACTCATCAGCAAAAATAGGTCTTGATGAAGAGTCCGACCTGACCTCCAGCATTACAATCACATTCACAAATGCTTTATAACAGTCTGTAGATACCAGCTGTTGACTGGCTGTCATGTTTCTGTCAAGGCCTCTGGTGGCTGTGTGTTGCCTTTTTGTGATGGGCTGGCTCCTCCTTTATTTTCTTTCCTTCCATGTCTTTCCTGCTAAAGGAAGTGATGCAGAAGGTTGCTGCAGTGGAGAGCCATCATCAAGTTTAGAACAATAGGTGTGGATGAAGCCAATTTCTACCATGATGCAAACTGCACCTGCAGCTTTCAAGTTTATTATGCTGTTGTTTTTCATCTGCGTTGCAACAAATTGATGCCACACGTCTGTCAGCGATAGTACGAACTGCAGTCACCTGCATCGTGTTCTGTCGGTATCCAGACACAGGAAATCAGAATGTGGCCAATTCTAAAGGATAACATCACTGAAGTGATGGAGTGAGCACTGTGTGGTAATGAAGTGAGTAAGGTTTTTCTCAGTCTACCACTGGTAATGAATGTTATGCAATCATGGAAATTGCTTTGGTTCTTTTGTGTGTCGGCTCTGGGCCACTGACTGGCTTCAGCCACGAGCTGCTGGACTGATACTCAAGAGAAGCTGCTTCCTCTCTGGTGCTTGGCTGCCCGAAACACCAGAAAGTGTAGAAATAGGAATAATTATAGATATTTTTTGAAAGTCATCAGATGAGGGAAGGTTGTCTTGGTTGTTGAGACGTTTATTTGAGAGCTGTTATACATATAATCATGCAGCAACAATTTAGGAAATCTTCAAACTGCTTATTCATGCTCTGCTGGTTATACCCCAAGAGACTGACCCTATTATTAGCCCCCTGGAGGTCATTTATTTGTCACAATGTTTTCTAGCTTAAAGGACGAGACATCACACACAATGTTCGGACAACCTATGATATTGTTTGTGTCGTGTCAATGTTCTTCTACTGGTATCCCTCTTTGTCCCTCTTTGTTAGTTGCTTTTCATGAGCTAACAAAATGCTGCTTGATATTCCAGACTTGTAAAGTTGAGTTGACTTAATGAAGCACTTTTTATACTCGTTTAAACTTGTTTGAAAAAATACACCAGCCCGGTCAATAGCTGGAGAGGGATTTGTTCTTGCATCATGTTTATTTTAAGAAAATTGTGTAAACACAGCCAGTATTTCCTTAGCCGGGGATTTAGATTCCAATGGGTAAAGTGGCACATCCTTGCTAACCCAACACTTTTAGCTGCTCCTCATTGAGCTTCGTGTCATATTTGAGCCATGTAATGAAACTTGAGGCGCTCATGACTACGACATGCAGGCAGAATTTCAATCTTGTCTTGTCATTTTCTTCTTGTCTCTTATCCAACATTCCTGTTTCAGCGTCCCCTCCTCTTCTGGCATGTGGACTGAGGAATATTGACTTCTGTTTGGGCAACAGACTTTTAGCCCAGAGGAAGAGTAGAGGAGAGTGACAGGAAGGGAACAAAGACAGCCCAAGTGTAATAACTGGAAAGAAATACAAAGTGGAGTGCTTCAGTCTTGTTTGGTCTATACATTATATAATATATTTAAAGCAGCGCCTTCCCCTCTCTCAGTACCATCACTGAAGTACCCTTGAGCAAGTAACCCCCAATCCCTCTGGTGCTGCCTAGTGGCCAACAGGGAAGACTGGGGTTATACAGGGCAGCTTGTTGGAGTGAATGTATGTAGAGATAGTGTCATACTTTGTTCATCTCCAAGTACGCAAGACATACACTTCATTATCAGAGGGTGTATGCGAGGCTCTGTGCAGACTCCCAGCTCCACTCCAACGTGGCCACTACAGCACAAAGGCACCAACTGTGCATGTGTACTAGTCCACAGACTCCAAGCGGACTAGATTTATAATAAGAACAATTATATGTTCCTGGTGTCCGCAGATTTTTGCGTGTGTCCACAAGAGTATAATTTAGTCCTCATTTGTGTGAGTGGTAGGGTGTTTGTGAAAAGAAGGCGTTGTGGCTTTTCAGAAAAGTCTTTGCTGAATGTTTTTAGCGGATTACATTGAAGGTCAACATAATAAACTGATTAAAAATGTGTGTGTGTGTGTGTTTCTTTGTATAGATCCAGACTTTCGGAGTGGAGGCTCCATGTAAGACAGTTGAAGACTTGACGAGTGGCATCGTCATGGCACAGGCTCTGCAGAAAATGTAAGTTTACATATGTAATATATCTGGTCAGTTGTATTTTTATAAAAGCCCCTTTTGGCTGTGTTTCGACATGTCTGTGCAAACTGAAACTAAAAATAAATGAATGTTTATTAATACTAATGAGCAAACATACTTTAGGCCCAGCCCTTTTCTCATTGAAGTTCCTTAAACCTGCAGCTTTGGGAAGATGCCCCTCTTATTAGACTAGTTTTTATATTTCTATTTACAACAAAACAAAGAAAAACTAATGTTTATTTTTTCGTTTGTCTTCATTCTTTAGAGATATAGTGTATTTCAGTGACGTTTGGATTGGTAGAATCAAGCCAGATGTCGGGGACAACTGGAGGTTAAAGGTAAGGATCAGACATCGTTTGGTCTGATGTAAAACGTTGCATAGTTGTAGATATTTCTTTAGAATAGATAAATATTGATATATTTATAATATTTGTCAGTCTCAGTTGGTGTCCCTAGTATTGGTATTTCTAATATTTTGGATAAATGTCTACATACGTATTCTGTTTTTTCAGGTCAGCAATCTAAAGAAAGTTCTGAAAGGAATCCTGGACTATAACCAGGAGGTAAGAACCATCTACTGTTTTCATTTTGAAATAAAAAAACCTTTTCAGCACCTAATATTCAGACTCAATAACCGTTTGTATACAGTGAGGTTATGAGTGCCTTCTCCACACTTCCTCCCTTTAGCACAGTACAGACCATGATTACCCAACATTCATTGTTGGAATATTTACATTTGAAAAAACACAATAACGTGTTTTCCTCCCGTTCAAGATCCTAGGCCAGCACATTAATGACTTCACACTACCAGATGTTAACCTCATCGGAGAACACTCTGACGCAGCAGAACTTGGGAGGATGCTGCAACTCATACTGGGCTGTGCTGTCAACTGTGAGCAGAAACAAGGTGCATATTCCATATTCTGTTTGTCTGTAGTTCGTGACAGGCTCAGACATTTGAATGTAGCTCATAACTGTGTCTCTTTTTCTCTAGAATACATCCAGACCATAATGATGATGGAGGAGTCAGTGCAGCACGTTGTCATGACAGCCATCCAAGAGGTTAGACTATCAAGCTCGTTAGACCTGGATTAAATAGTATTTGCAAATTATAGTTGTTAAATGAGAACACAGCAGGGCTGGTCAGATTTCCTTTTACTCTAAGCAGGGTTGTGGGTGTAATTGAATTGACACTCTTTTTTTTGTGTGTTCCCTGTAGCTGATGAGTAAAGAGACTCCAGTGATTGGAGGAAATGACTCATATGTGGATCTAGACAGACAGGTATGGAGCCTCTTTGAACCCAGCAGGGTTTCTTTACAATTCACTTCTTTTTGCTCAGTGAAAAGTCCGAGTGCTGAACATTCACATGCCCGAATCTTTGAAATCCTGCATAGACATCCTCCATTATGTGTGTTTCTCCTCATCATTGACCACAAACCTGTAAAACAGCTGGATCTGCTCTGCTACTGTGCATTTATTTCTGTGTATAAGCTGGGACTGTTTTTGTTTATTTTATTTGAATGATCTAGTATGTGAGCTTTAAGTCAATGGAAAGGAAATTGGTTTTGACTTGTGATTTCTTTCTGTTCTCAGCTGAAAAAAACGGCTGAGGAGCTGAACGATGCTTTGTCAACGAAGGAAGAGATCGCCCAGAGGTGTCGTGAGCTTGACATGCAGGTCGGTTTTACACAGTTGTTATCCTCCATGTTATAAGCCCTTTGAACGCTGGTTCATAATAACCGACTGTCCCGTGTCTGAATGACACTAATAAAAGGGGATTGTGTGTGAATAAGTGGACATTAAGATGGATAACATTATTTGTGGCTGGTTAAAATGCCGTGCTGAAACTAATATCCTAATTAAATCATAAACATTAATCAAATAACAGCATTGTTAGAAAAATGTATATTGTCTGCTGCTGTAGCCAAAGGCACAATTTGGACTTCTGAGCATAAGGCATTAAATACCATTGGTGATCAATGATCATCTTCTCATTACAATGATATTTGACACAGTTGATCTTTATCTACATAGATTAAATTGGTGGGAGATAAAGAAGAACACACCACCAAGGCTATACAGGCCTGTGAAGCTCTTATAATAGACAAGAGGGAATAAAGAAGTAGGCTGATAATCATCATTTTAAATGAATTGATCTCAACATGATGAATATGTTTGATTTTTCTGTATTTTTTTACTTTGAGATCAAAATCAAAGGACATGGGTGAAAACATAACCTCATTGCATGTGGTAATGAACATTCTTTTGTGGTCACGTACTTTAACGTTTATTTAGGTTAAATATATTTAAAACATAGAAAAATACATCATTTTATAAATACATAGTGTTCACATAGTAGAACGCAGTTACTTTGTAATATTTAAGTCTTTCACTCTGATTTTGTTATACTTTGTATTTCTTTAAAAGCAGCTCCATTTTTCTGAATGGATTTAATTAAATGTCCTCGACGTTAACAATGACTAATTGCGGCAAATGGAGAGATAATTTATCTCATATTTATTTATCATAATGGATTTTCTGCTACTTAAGAAAAATGGAGCTGTAAATTACCTGCTCTCTTGTTGTGTTCAATCACTTTTCCTCTTATTTCCTGACTATTTCAATACTGTGTGCCTTGCTTTAAAGGCCCTCCATGTCCAAGAGGAGCGTGATAGACTGAGGTTAGAGTTTAATGAGCTAGAAGAGAGGGTAAATGCAAACTTTCTTCTTTCCGTCTCTTCCGTCCATCCATGGTGTGTGGTGTGTCTAATAGTCCTGGATTTTTTTTCTCAGTCTGCTTGCACCAGTATCCCTTTTGGAACCAAGATCTCCCCTTGTCCTAATTATGTGTGCATGTGTGTGTACACGTTTATGCACAAGTGTTTGTGCACACGTATACACACGGTCCTCTCGGTGCACACCAGCCACAACTCCAGTCTTGTGTGGGTGTGTCAGAGGTCGCCCCTTCAATGATAACGTCCTGCCTCTTTACCCTGTCGTGTTTCATGCACTTTCCCACAGCAACAGTAGGCAGCAAGAGGTTTTTGGACCAATAGAAAGGAGTCATTTCATGGTAATAATGTTATTAATAAGTTACATTGCTGATTTGAAGTGCACACCGAGAACCCTTTTATTAAAATAAATGAGACCATCAAGCAATCAGCAAAGTCAATACTCAACAGAACTGATCTCAGCTTTTGTGTGACATAAGTTTGTTCCACTGATTTTTTTTTTTTCACAGTGGTGCAAGTTCTCCCAGAACGCTTCCACATAACCGTGTTACTGACCAAATCATATGGCTTACATTCTCCACATAGGAGTGTCAAACAAAAATCAATCATCAGTCAAATACATTTAAACACTCTGTTTCTTGAGTCGACCTGTAGTTATACAAAAAAAAACCACATTGAACTTTGAACAAAACAAGAAAACCCAAAGTACGCTACACTGGTGTCACAAGACGTTAAATAAGATCCTCACTCACTCACTTACACAGTTGGCAGTGGTTTCCTCATAGAGTAAGTAAAGCTCAGTGGCATTTGTTTTAATGTCCCATTATAATGAAGGGTTTATTGATTAGGTTTTAATGAGTCCAACAACAACCAGGGATTAAAAATGGTGGGAATAGCAGTGAAAATAATCAGCTTCTGCTTTGCTTTGTGTGGAGTTTGATTCCCTGTCTATCACAATGACGAGACAACATCAAACCATATGTAGCCCTATTTGCTATGTTGGTGTGTCTGGTGTGTCTTTGCGTTCTCACTGAGGTTGATGCTGCAGTGATTGTGATTAACCTGTTGGACTGAATGCTTCAAAGATGCAATTTGAAAGCTTTAGTGTCACTCCCTCCTAACTTTACCCCCTTTCTGCCTCTTCTCTCCTTTTTCATTTATCATTCCATCCTCCTTTTTGCATTTTTCCACTATTTCCACTTTCCTCTTATCCAATTCACTTCTTCTCCCTATTCATCTAATTGTGTATCTCACTACTGGACCGTCTCCTGTACTCTCTGCTCCTTTTATTATTCTTTTTCCTACGTACTTCCATTCTTTCCTTCTTTTCACCACCCTCCCTTCCCCAGGTGGCAGCGCTGCAAGAGGAGAAGAGCAGTTTACTCGCAGAAAACCAGGTCCTGATGGAGAGACTCAACCAGTCTGACTCCATAGAGGATATTAACAGCCCAGCTGGACGCAGACACCTCCAGCTGCAGACACAACTCGAGCAACTGCAGGAAGAAACGTTCAGGTGTGGAGTTGGAAGGAGATTTTGTTACATAAAATGTGAGGATGTTCTGACGCAAATTTGAAAGATGATTATTGTTATTAATTCATTTTAGGTTGGAGGCAGCAAAAGACGACTACCGGATCCGGTGTGAGGAGCTTGAAAAAGAACTGATAGATGCAAAGTCACAGAATGAGGAGCTTGTGTCACTGGCTGATGAAGCCCAGTCCCTTAAGGATGAGATGGATGTTCTTCGGTAAGTTGGGATGGAAAATGTAATGTAAGCATTCATTGTGTTATAGTTCAAAAAAACAGGACAAATGCCAAATATTGCATTTCGAACCACTATCAAATATCTGTTGTGTCAGGCATGTTGCTACACAAACAGAGCTTTAGTTAAGCTTTTCCCTTTATGTAACCTCACAAAATGAAACCGCTCATTGTTTTCACCTCTAGGCATTCATCAGACAAAGTGTCCAAACTGGAGGGGACAGTGGAACACTACAAGAAGAAACTGGAGGACATGGGACTTCTGAGGAGACAGGTACACAGTCACACACAGACAGACAACCGGAAGAACTTACAGCACACAATTGATGCTTATATTTCCGTGGCTGTTTTTCAGAACAAGCTTATGGAGGAGAAGAACACAGTGTTAATGCAGACCAATGTGGGTTTGGAAGAAGAGCTACGAAAGGCAAATGCCACAAAGGGCCAGCTCGAGACGTACAAGAGACAGGTACCCAAACAGCATGTTGTTAAATCTCAAAAATCTTACTTTACATTTCCCCTGACAGGAGGATGTTTTCACTCTGCGCAGGTGGTTGAACTTCAGAACAGACTGTCAGAAGAGTCTAAAAAGGCCGACAAGATGGAGTTCGAGTACAAACGTGTCAAAGAGAAAGTGGACTCACTGCAAAAAGAAAAAGATGTATGTTTAATTCACTTTCTTAATAAACAAATGAGTGAAACTGAAAATTATACAAGAATAATCAAGTAGTCTCCCTCTGCAAAACGATAAAGCCCATAATATTCCACACGGTGTTCCAGTGGTTACCACTGTCACCTCAGAAGGTTCTGGATTCGATTATTTCTTTTCTCTGTGGCGTTTGCATGTTCTCATGTTCTCAGACCAATTTTAAAGACAAAACATGTTCAGATATATTACAAGCAGGTTAATGTTTCCTTGGCATTTATTCCATTTGTAACGTCAATTCTACACCCTGCATTATTTATCTTTCAGTCTCTGTAACATGCAATCATACAGATTTCTCTGTCTCCCTCTGCAGCGAATGCGGACAGAGAGAGACTCGTTGAAGGAGACGATTGAGGAGCTGCACTGTGTCCAGGCTCAGGAGGGACAGCTTACATCTAGTAAGGAAATGTGGCTAAACCTGAGTAGTTGAGCTTGAGTTGAGTTGGGTTTTCCCTGTAATAACAACAACACTGTCTGCTTACCCAGGTCTCTTCCCATTGGTCAGCAACGATGGCTCAGATTCGCTGGCTGCTGAGATCACCACCCCAGAGATACGGTATGACTTTTAGAGTTAGGGAAAATAATGTAAATATTATATTTTATATAGGAATAAATATCAGCACAGTATATAAAAGTTATAATTAGTAAAATCATTTTGAGCATGTGCATCTTTATTGTATATTTTAGAAATTCTGTGTATTTGTCATAAAAAAGACTTTATTTACTTCAGAACAGTTGTTTTCAAGATTTTAAAGTCAATATTGCAAGTTGCCTGTAAAAATCACATCAGTTGATATTAAGGCTGCAATTTGAAAGGTGCTTTAAAATGACAGGTCTGCAGTTGGACCCCCGTCTGTGTTGCTGATCCTTTGTGTATGTGTGTACAGTCTGTCTGCTGTGCTATAGCCAGATTATTTCAAGCCTCTTCCCCCTGCTGCTTTTCCTGCCAATTTAAGGTGGATGAGAGTCGGGCCTCAAAAGAGCCGTCTCTGTAGTGAGTTATGTAATAGTTGTGTGTGAGTTACATCAGCCTCACTGCTGCTCTCCAAGAGGGCTGGGTTTTCCTCTAGTCCCATAAAGTGCCTGGATTTTAGTTCAGCATTTGCAAACCTAGAAAAATTTGGATTTCCATTGAAACCCTAATCTTACCAAAGCTGCTTATGGCAAATCAATCCATGCTATTTGTTAGCCTTTAGTGGCAGACAGGTGAAAAACTGCAGTTTCTTGAGATGTTGTCTCCTGCAGGGATTCAAAAAACAAAGAAAGATGTCTTTAGCTTTAGAAAAGTTTCTTGTGAGATATCAAAGATACAAACTGTGTGAAAAACTAAACTGCTAACTACATAACTTGCTCATTCGTTGGTCTTCAGTTCGAGTGATTGTATATGAAAACCTGAAGCAGCCTTTTAAAAGCAACATCTGGAATTGATTATTGCCGGTCTGCTCTAAACTGAACACAGCCAGATGAACAGCTGGAAACACAGTTATTCTCTGTCTACTGCAGTGCAGGACTCAGAACTCCACCAGGGAACTCCAGTCAACTTTATGTAATATATTTTATCGAATAAGCTCCACTGGAATCTTTACTCCGCCTCCCTTCTTCCTGAGTAGCCAGCGCCTGTGAGTGTATAAATATTTAGCTGGTTCCTCAGTTTGTGAAAGGAGTCAGCAGCCACACCCTAAACGAAAGACTCGTGTAACAGGCTGTGCTCATTCAGTGCAATCTAAACGTGTATTCTAGTTTCATGTTGCAGACTAGATTTATAAATGTTCAAGTGAAGTTGCTGCCCAATCAATCAATTAAGTTTGACAAGTACAGACATGATTTACCATCTCACCAAATATTGACTGATGCTCATTCAAATGTGTTTATATCATAATATGTGAAGGTTTTACAAGATTTTTGCTTTTAAAGTTTTAAAATGTAGTTCTCTTGCTAATATTTATTGTAGATTGAAAGCAGTTCTAGGGATAACACACTGAAGAAACAATAACATGGTCACCATTTGTCTTTAGTCATTATAATATGATACCAGAATTATTTTTTCAGAGATTTGGGTAAATATTCTGTAGGACTGCTGAGTAAAGGCGTGTGATAACCATTATTATTTCAATCAAATGGGATCAGGAATTCATTCTGTGTTTTTTTATTACAGAGAACATTTGATTCGTCTTCAGCATGAGAACAAGATGCTGAAGTTGGCCCAGGAGGGATCAGACAATGAGAAGATCACTCTGTTGCAGAGTCTACTGGAGGATGCAAACAGAAGAAAAAATGAACTGGAGACGGAGAACAGGTCAGCAAAGACGAGCAGAGGAACATGCAGATTAACAGCCAAAGAAAAGAGACCTAATTATTCACAGTCAAGGAAAAATATCTGTTGCATTTTCTTGTAGATTCGACTCTGGTGAGATTATTTCCTTGTTTTAGAACCTAGATCCATCTCTTAATTTATTCCTCCACAAATATTTCCTTTCTTTATACCGGAATCTAAATTTGTCCTTTGAGTCAGAAGCCTGCCTCTATGATTTTTGTTTATCTACCACTGCACAGGTTTACTGCATCCTTTCTTTAAACTATGTTGTCTGACTGGTCTCTTGCTTCATCAAGGTTAATCAATCAGCGCTTGATGGAGGAACAGAGTCAGGTGGAGGAGCTGCAAAAGACTGTCCAAGAGCAGGGCTCCCAAGCAGATGATGTGAGTTCTAAAAAATGTGTTCTTTATTGTGTGTGTGTGTGCACATTAATGATACTATGAAGAAAATTCAATTCCTTCATACCGCAACTGTTAAATATAGATTGTCACCAAGACTGCAGTACCCTGCTCCTCCTGAAGGGTCAATACTTACTTTATCTTAGGTTCCTTACAAAAAACACATTTCCCACACTTCCATTATTTATGTGGCTAATGCATAGAAAAAAACCCTTTGATTTCCATTGTTATTACTAACTTATTAACATTAACCATTTCTAATGCCTGTTGTATCCATGGTGTTTTTATCTGTTTGTGTGTTTGCTTTTATCTAAGTGTTAGAAAAGTATTCTTTCTCTTGGGATAAACAGAAGCCTTGTGTCATTTGACTGTCTTGAATTTTAGACAAACTAAAATCCCCACATAACAATTACAGTCATTTATTTTTGTTCATATTAACTTATGTCTAATCTGTGATCCTAAACACAAAAGGGAAAATGGCCTCTTCTCTGTTCCTTGTCTCCCCTGAACCAGTTTCTAGTAGGAAACAACTGGTATTTAGGACGAGGAGGTTTGGACGATTTCCCAACGAGGCTTATGTGTGAGAGAGAGTTTGCATGTGTGTCAATCACAATCATTATGCGTCTTTACTACATAATCAAAAACCTTTAGTTGTGTTTGTTGGGGTTTCCGGTTCCTTTTCTGTCCGTTTGTGAAGATTTGGAATCAGATGAGTTTTTCTTAACTTCCTTTCTTTTCGCTGAAGATGAACAGAACACTAATACTTTCAGTATTTAACAGATGGAATCAAGTTTAAAGAAATTAGAACACAGTAAGCAGAGAGTGCAAAAATGTGTTGATGTGTTATTGCAAGGAAGACGTGGTGATGCAGCCTTTTTTAAACATCAAAAATCATTTTCGGACCCTGCATTTATGCACTTGCGTTAGATCGTTACAAGCTTTTTCAGGAGAATGTTCTTAAGTTTATTGAGCTGGAAAACAGAAGAAACAAAACGAGGCAAAAGGACCTAAAGCAACTCACACTATGGAATAAAACCGTCCACATTCGCAGGGCTGGAACTTTTGCCATTCAGTTAAATACTTTTGTTTTTTCCCAATAATGCTCCCTCTGTCAGACAATAGTAAGTATGTGTTTGATTTCAGACAAGTTCCTTCTGTTAAACTTTGCTCTTTCATGACCTTAGATTTTATTGAACCAAATGTGTCACAACTCAGAGTGTAAATCTGCATAACGTCAGTGATGGTTAATTAATGCATCATATTTCAGAGGATATTCTCTGCAAATAAAAATTCAAATTTGATTCACCAAGAATCATTAGATTTTTATATTGAGCATTTCACTGACTTTTTTTTGTTGCACTGAGTTGCTGCACACAGGTAAAGGTCATTTTCTCATAGCTAACTATCAGTAGTCTGCAGGTACAGTATCTTTTCCTGATTAGTCCTTAGTAACACAACATTAGTAGATTGTTCCTCCTCCTCTTTGTTCCTTGATGCTGTTGTCTTCTCGTTTAGAGCAAGTTCTCTTTAGATTTCAACTTTCACATGAATTCGTTGTACATTTTACCACATGAACAGTTGACACAGGATCAAAAAGCAAAACAAAATTGTAAAACTCAACTAATCCTGAATATTCTTTGTGATTATCAGAGAAAATCATGTTATGACCCACATATGACTGATTTTATTTCTACTCAAATAAATTTCTACTTAAATTTCAGATCTTTGTATAAAGATAAGATGTCCAGAATCTTTAATAATACATTTCCAAGTATAATTGACTCTGCATTTTTCTCTGTTGGACGCCACGTGAAAGATTTGATCAACTCTTCATCCTAGACATCAAACAGACGCTGTGCTTAACTTATCAGACTTATTTTTTGGGCATTTAGTATATAGATATGTCTCTATGATGCTGTGAACATTGGCCCAGGGGCCCAGTTCCATTAATTTTGGGACTTGTGTTCCATCCTGAGGTGGAACTGAACAATCTCAGGGACTAGTATCACAAACCAAAGTGGCTGCAGGTAGAAAATTTAAAGCAACAGCCAGTTTGCAGCAAGTCCTGCATTGATCCAACAGAGCGGCTCTTAAAATGATTCTGGTTTGTTGAAGGTGTAATATATGATTAACGTAATTTTCATTTTGTCTTTTTTAGTCTTCCATTCTGAAGAAGAAATATGAGGAGCACATGTAAGTGAATTCACGCACCCAGAGCTGTCTTGATCTGTCTTTGTACTTGAGATATTGGACAGAAAAAGCATTATTGACATATGTGCTTTATTCTTTCCATCAGGGAGAAAGTACGAGAGTTGAACAATGAGTTATTGAAGAAAAACACCTTCATCGATGAAATGGAGCCTAAATACAACGCCAGCAGTGAGTTTGTACCCCTGTTATTTTTGGACTTCCTGTTTTTAAATCGCAAATTTCTCAATACCTGATGTTGCAACACAGATACGACAGTGAAGCCATTAAAAGTATTTTTCAATTCAAAAGAAAATATATATAAAAGAGCTCAGGATGGTTTGATTCAAACAAATGTGTTGTTCCCTCTCAGGCCACCGGGTGGAGGAGCTGGAGGAGGCCTTGAAAAAGAAAGATGAAGACATGAAACAGATGGAGGAGAGATATAAGAAATACCTGGAGAAAGCCAAGAGTGTGAGTATATATTTGTATTGCTTTAGAATCAACCGTAATATCTTTTGTGTTCTGCACTGCAAGTAGTGATAGTTGCTGTGGGTGATTGTGATGTGATTGAATGTTTCCCCTGCAGGTGATCCGGACCCTGGACCCCAAACAAAACCAGGGTTCAGGTCCAGAGGTCCAGGCCCTGAAGAACCAGCTTCAGGAGAAGGAGAGGATGTTACACTCACTGGAGGTAGTTGGTTAGCTTAGGCTTGGATGATCGCGTACACAAAGGATTCAGCAGCTTTTACATCAATGTTAAGAAGAAACAGAAAATCTGTCTTTTCTTAAGTTTGTTGTCTTTATTTTTCCTCCAAACAGAAGGAGATGGACAAGACAAAGAGCCAGAGAGACTACGAGGAGAAACTGATTGTTTCAGCCTGGTACAACATGGTAAGAAGGAGTCACTAATACACAGTCACGTGTCCATTTATTTGTGACACACACTGACAGAGAGCTGGGATTTAAGGACTAGAACAGTATTTATACAGTCACAATATACAAAAATCTATAAAATGATGATTTAAAGCAGTGAATACGTTATCATAGAACTTTTTAAAGTAACAGTCAGCTCTTACATTGAAAGGAAGAACATTTTATGGAATTGTATGTTCTTTATCACACATTCTTAGACTCTAGATGTCTCTAACACAGACTTGTAAAAATATACTCAAAATAAGAACTAATTTGTCATTTTCACCACTAGAGGGCAGCATAGACTGTTCTATAAGTCCAGTGGTGACTGTTTGCTCTGTCCCATGTTTGATGAATAGCTGGTGTGAATGTTCATGAGTTTTTAAATTGTCCCTAATGTTGTGTTTAAGCCGGTTCTCTTTCTCATGCATCACAATCAGTGGACTGATTACAGCTTCTTCTGTGGTGTTGGAACAACTCGTACTGTGTTGAGTCTATGTATACGTACTGTTTTTACACTGATAGTGACCATTAATGAACCTTCCTCTGCTTCTTTCCTCAGGGCATGACTATTCAGAAGAAGGCGGCTGAAGACCGACTTGCCAACACCGGCTCCGGTCAGTCCTTCCTGGCCAGGCAGAGACAAGCCACCAGCTCTCGCCGCTCGTATCCCGGCCACGTCCAGCCAGCTACCACAAGGTAGAGGGCAACAGGGGCAGACAAAATACTGCGACAAACTACCTTACAGATCCGCTGAACTTCTTTGAGGCACACTATCTCCGTTCAATTCTAACGGAAGTTCTTGTTTTCCTCCTTTTCTGTCTATTGATTGTCTTCTTTCCCTTCTTGATCAGATCCATGAGGTAGAGATGCCCGGAACTACCCAAAACTTGCGCCACTTTTTTCCCTGACTAAGCATATTTTACTCTGACTCCACTGATGCCAGGCTTCTACGTTTTTTCAACCCCCGGCATATTCAATAGGGTTTGACTAATCACCCCAAAACTCCCTCTCTTTCTCCCTTTCAACCACTGACCTTCTTCAACCTGTACTCTGTGGCAAACCTTTGCCGGGCAGGTGGTCTCGACCCCCAGGGGTGGGAGGACTTGCATCTCCTTGACAAGTTCCTGTCATTTTTGTTTGGAGGAACCGCTCTACCTGTTCATGCAGTATTTATGCACATCTCTACCTGTGATAACGTTTGAGGTTCATCTTGTTTTTTGACCTGAGTTGGCAGATTTTCTGTTCCGTGTTATCTGTTTTTAACCTTTATGATGTAGCTTTAAGAAAGTTACACGTGTCCCTGTTTCATTTGTTTTCTTTCAGAGGGATGCTCTTTTGTTTTATCATTGTGTTATAGAGCAACAAATGCATGGAGGCATACCAAGATGTGTAGTTATCACATGCAAATGCTTAATTAGATTTTTTAATTTTTAAAGAGAGTATGTGGTTTGAAAAAAAAAAACACAGGTTGTCTTGTAACAGCCATAATCGTGAAAGGATTATTTTTCTCCCAAGGGGAAAAGAAGGACAAACTGGTTTCAGAAAGTTCATCAGAGATCAGTGTGTGAACTGTGTGTTTCATTGTGTGAGGAGAGAATGTCGAGCAAAGCGAGAAATGCATTCGTCCACGTTTTTAGCATTACCAGCATTTACCAGGTTGTCTCAGACAACACCTTGTGTGCCATAGTTATTATCCTTGACACATGGTTGGCTTCCCCTCGTACATAGGAAGAATGTGTTAAAAGGAAAATCTCTTCTTGAGGTTAAATAGTTTATGAATTTCAGATCCTCGTACTGTCCGGTTGAAACAGGATTTAGATTATAAATCTCACTTGATGCCAACAAGTCACCAAAGAGAAGGTGTTTAATCCATATTGCACAGCAGACCTACTTTCAATATCATTTCAGAATCATTGTTATCAAAGCTGAAAAGCAGTTTCACGGTGTGGCGCTGCAGAAATCACGTTTTTGACCTTATCGTCAAAAGCTCTGGAGATTCCTGGTTGTTCCAGCTTCATCTGTGTTTTCTACGTGTTTTGCACAAATTTGTCATCACAAATTATTTTAACGCGTTCTGTTTCCTTAGCGTATTCAAAAAGACATAAACACTAATTCACTAGTTGGGATTTCCTGCTGTATTGTCTCATGTGTTCACTCAGACACTCTCCTGACATTTTATCAGGGGGCCGGTAAGTTCAGCTGAATGTCCAGAGTAACTGACTCAGACTCACGTACCGTCCCTCTGGAAAATTCCAGGAAAAGGTCCAGTGTCCAGTCTGAGCACGTGTCGTGACCGTTCCCATCTTTTCTGTAACTTGTTGCCGTCTCTTGTTATTAACGTGATGGACAAGTTGAGGCATTGATTTTGGCTGCTGTCATCTGACTGTCATGTCTCTCTCTTTCCTCCTTTAACAGCAATGTCACTGCATGACTGCTACACCAGTGACCTGGCCAAGCGAGCACATTGTGGCCGAGCTGTAGGCAGAGGCTCTTGATGCATGAACTGCCCGCCTGCCTGCCGTTTGCATGACTTTGCATTGACTCCAGCCTGCAAATAACCAGCACAGCAGCATGAGCACTAACAAACCCTTCTGCAGTGTCATGCATTGTAACCTTCAACACAAGCCTCAGGAGGGATGTGGTCGGAAAAAGAAAACCCTCACCCTCCTTCCCCAGTTCAACGTTTTCCACCCTTCCGGCTCCTTCACTCCTCTTGTTCCCCTGCTCTTTGTTATCCTCTCCATCTTTCCCCTCTCTACTTAATCTTCATGAACGTGTCTGCTTGTGCTTCCACACATCAAGTCTGTTACTATTCAACCAACAGTATATTACACCTAGTACAAGGTGCGGAATACAGTCTGTGAATGACCCATTTGATTCGATAGGCTTTTTCTTCGGTGCTTTTGTGTGACTTGACGTTGACGAGCTGCTTCAGGATACCTCAGTGACATTTTTCCACATATCTGTTTTTATTTACATGGTTGGAGGACTGTTGGCTTCAGTGAGACACAGTTGAGAGGTGTAGCCTGCAGATGAGTCTGCAAAACAAAAAAAGAAACCAGCGTCCCTTTTTAAGTTTGGAACTTCTGCAGTGGTTCTGCCTGGGTCTCCTCATCATGTTGCCAGATCTAAGAAGTGCTTTTACCACAAGTATTATGTGAGTACACCAAGTTGTGGACTAAAGAAGAGCTTACAGGGCATTAGTGGTTTGCCCTCGAGGCCTTTGGACAGTTTGCAGTAGGAGCATAGGATGGAAAAATGAGTTTTAAATGAATAACATTGTTACAGATCTGCTTGTATACATGGAAAAGCCCCCATTAAGCCCACTTGGATTTTATCTAACTTCTTTAATGTCAGCGTAGCGTCTGTTACTCCATAAAATGCAGGTTTAATACACACAGATATAACACTGCTGACTACTGAGTCGTTCGTTACTTGTCTAGTAGGATATAAGTGCATTTTGTCTCACTTTTAAATCACTTTAACTGTAAACTAAATTCTAACATGATAGGAATAAAAGACTTTTCAAAAAGTAAAGGACATGCAACTGTACATTAGCTCACGCAGGCTAATGTGGAGGAAGTTCACTCAGTTGGATTGAAAGGGCAAAGCGGTTACAAGACGTCCCAAAGGGAAAAACTATTGGGACAGTTTCGGCATTAATTCCTAATGAAGATAATCACTGCTTAAACATGCAAGCGGTGACCACAAAGCAAAATACACGACTTTCATTGGGCACAAATTATAATATCACTTATAACAAAACTTCATTTGGTCTAGCTGTAAATCATACTGTACATTCTGTCTAGCTTTTTTTTTTTAAATAATGGTCTTATTTATTTGGGCCAAAGTAACCTGGTCGGCAAAGTGGGATGCCTGTTGCCATAGCAGCAGGTGCTGATCCCTATGCAGGAGCAGGATGTGATTTAAATGTTTTATTCAGAGCGTGTTAATAAAAGTGTTGGAAAGACTCGAACACATGGACCTGAGGATATATGCATATTACAGGTATAAGTGCGTATATCGAACGCTCCCATTTAGTGCCTTTTTTGTAAAATATGAAATGAAAAAAGACTTTGTGGTCTTCTTAGGACAATAGGCGTGTTGCCTTTAAAGACCAGTGTTATTGTGTTGTTTGAAAAGAGGAAAACATGTCTTGAGATGGGCTTAAATCTCACCCGCATGATAAAAGTCTTGTATTGTCTAGAATAAGTAGGTTTAATGAGGGCTTTCTCTGTTTTTAACGTATTTTACTCCCAATTGTCATATTATGTAACCTGATTAATTCATTCTGTGCATTTTTATCTCAATTACTTATTTATTCTTTTTGCTGCGTGTACAGCTATGTTGTCCAATTTGTTTTCTGTCAGTAGTATTATCTCACCACTTATACTGTTACAATGGATTTCCATGCGACATCAAAATACTATTAAATACTTGTCTTATGCAACAGAAGGAGGAGAAGACTCGTCCTAGTTTAGTGTTTGTCTCCATCTAACAAAAAAATGACAAAGGCGTCATCTCTGATCAACTGGAGAGAAAAAAAAAAACAGTGCACGGTTATTTTCACCTCCTGTTGTTTCTGGAAGAGTTTCCTAGATAACACTGTGCTCTCTAAGAAACGTGTTTGAAAATGAATGTTTCCTCATCAACAAGCACGTTCAACATTTTTCATCCACTGAGTGAACTTACTGTGACCCTGTAAAGGTCGTTTGGGATACCTGTGTTACTGCGTTAGATCTAAGTATCTTGATTAAACACATCGGATTTCATATCTAATAAATTACTTTCCCAGAAGTGAGTGATGATGCAACATTTTCAGTCTGAATTGATATGCAAATGAAAAGTGTTTCTTGAAATGTTTTCTTGTCTCTGATTGTGTCTGTGTTTTGTAAACCACTCGCCATTAACATCTGCAGTTTGAGCTGTAATGTGTTATATGACATGCGACTCCTGACCGTCCATCCCCACGAGTCATTGGTTTCTTATGGAATCTGTATATAACGGAACACGTGTACTGTTCGGTCGTATCAGGGATGGTGGGGAAACATTTTATTTTGTTATTTAATATCTCAAACAGATTGTGTTATCCCCTGTTATTTACCTTTTGCTTTTGTGTCTGTGTACATTATTAATAATATTACCCTGATGCAAATAATGAGATAGTGGGTAGACAAGAAAGTTACTATTACTTGTCATATAACCAGAGAAACTAATTTTCCTTATCAATGCCAATTTCTTCTCCGTAGAGAAGCACAGAGTGACACTTAAAAATCCATCTTCATGAGACGTATCTGAGAGCAGAACGAGGATTGCAGTTTCCAAAACCTATAATGTCAAGTCATAAAATGAGTAAGCAGTATTTTCCAGTGTTATTTGACTGCTCAGTGAACTGTGGGCCAGTCAAAAAGTCACAAGGTCAGAATCTCATCCAAATGTTTGCAGTGTTTGCTTTTTTTTCTTTTTTTTTTAATTTTTTCTCATTGGAAATGTTTTCTTTACATACCGACGTAGCAAAACACCTTCCATTTGCCAAGTTTTATATTGCTCTTATACAAACACACGTGTACATACTTTATGTGACAGTGGTAGAGGAAGTGTCAGGCTGAAAAGAACTTGGTTGGTGGATTTCATTCAGCATCTGTCCGACGAGGACCAATCGATGTGCTTCCCTACGCTGCGAAACTTGGAAATGACATTGTAAATAAAGCTTGTATAAAACAGGCCGCGTGTCTGTTTTTCATTCAACACGAAGACCAATCTATAAAAGAGTTTTCTCATGATATCAGTTTCCACCCTGAGTTGGTTCTTGTGTCTGGTTTCAAAGACACACAAACTATGATTGAATCAAGCCATGACCTCAACCCACCGCCTCGGGGGGTAAATCCATTATTGGTTCACCAAAACAAATTGAGTTACAGCAGCTCTAACTGATACTGTGATGACAATAAGAACAAATAACACTCAATAATCGGAGCTTTCCACAGTAGTGCCAGTGTTCAGAGTCAAATGTTCACATTCCTCCATGTTTCAGTTTCTCTAAACGACATGTAGCTGGTGATGTTGGGACAAATATCAGAATCCACAGATCTTCTAACTATTTGGACGCAATAAAAGTGATTTAGCTGTTGAGTTGACATTTACACATTTATATTTGTTTCATCCCTTAATGCACGTTGGGTGTGGCCTTTGTTCTAAATTGTGTTTGACACGGAAACTTGAGGATAAAAACGTTCCTGATCCAGCAGCACCGTCTTTAATGTGTTGTAACAACTCTCACAAACATTCCGATGATGATGATATATTCTGTCATCATTGTGCATCACCAGTGTGTCACGTGGGTTCTGATTGTCAGTATCTGTTTCTCTGCTGACTCCGTGCACACACAAACCCAGACGAGCCCGGCCTGGGAAATGAAGCCTGCTCGGCCCTCGAGGCTGCGGACGCAGGAACTTCCCTGTATCAGTGTCCCGTCCTTCATTCCTCAGAGCGTCTCTTCTCTCTAACCTCAGCCTCTGGGTGTGTCCTCCTGACGTGTCGTGGCACAGGGCCACAGTCAATAAAAATACACTTCTCTGGTTACTCACTCACTTCTGGCATGATGGGTCTGGGTGAAAGGAGATGATGAAGAGGATGGTTACAGTCCATTGTGTTGGTGTCATCTTCCAAAGTTTATTTTACCCCAAAAAGTTTCACTCCTGAAAGTTTAGGCAATGAAAGGAAGTCACCTTTATTTTGATCTGCTTTGATTATCTGTGATGTTGTTTACGACTTTGGACATTTGGTCAATTTCTGGAAATACTTTATTTATACATTTAAAACTGGACCGTTCTCTGCGTAGATGAATATAATTATTCATGGTTTACCACATCCTGTTATGATAGGTCTTAAGGACAGATGTAGAGAAGATGGAAAGTATAGACGCCGACATTAAAACAGACAACAAGAATAGCACTCTGTATAGTGCAGGACACTGTTATGGAAACCACATTTGAATTCACTAGAGCCGCAATTTATTTTGGTTTTAGTTTTAGTTTGTTTTTCATCAAGATCCATGAATTATTCTTTGAGAAATCCAGATTCTCATCAGATTTCATGAGTTTTTCTCTGAAACAACATCCTTCCACTGAGTTTCGTGGTAAACCATTGAGTACTTTTTGTGTAATCAACCAACAAACCGATGTTGTATCTGATCGTTATTTTTTAAGTTAAAAAAACTTTGAAACATCACCACAAAAAAAAAAAAAACGAGGCAAACATCACTCACATGTATTGAGTCAGCTCATAAACTTCTTTCTTTTAACCAACATCTGCAGAAAATCGTGTCTGTATGACCCTAAAATCACAAATCTCCTTTGCTCCCGTTCCAGCTCCACTTTGTTCCACTTTGTCATCCAGCTTTC